CCAGGCTTATGTGCACACACGCACCCATGGACACTTATACATGCGAATATGCAACCCCCCCATTCTGATTCTGAATCTGAACACTGATGAACAATTGAACAACTACAAAACTAAAAAACAATTGCAAAACTAAAACATGAAAAAACAAACAAAAACAAATCAAACAGATTTGTGAAAACAGAAAATCTCTACATATAGTTTAGAATTTACAATTTATACAAAAAGTAAACCAGCCCTATTAGTAACAGATCAGTCCATCATGCCATTTATCATTTTGTGTATCATTATGCTCCAGGATATTGTATAAAACATCCCAAATTTTCCAAAACTTATCAAGTTTGTTAGCTTATCTTTGCAAGATCAAAGTGAAAAGTCATTCCTTTTAGCCACAGATTGTTGACCCCATTAAAATTTCTACAGATCTGCCCCTGCATGTATCCTGTAATTGCCTGTGTGTGTTTAGATGCAGCTTCTGATCCAATAGTGGATTAAACACATTTTCTGATATAAAAAAGCAAATTGTGTTTTGACTGAGATATGTGCTCTCTTGAATCCTTTCTAGTCATAAATCTTAGAATGTTGCTTTTTTAGGGACAGTTAATAAATAGTTTAAATATTTCCTTGTCAAAATACTGTCACAGTTGAAAAACAGATCTTTAGTTTTTTTCTTTCTACAGTGAATGCAGCAGTTTGGAACCGAAAATATACGCACATTTATTTCTGGATTTCCCTTATGAGCAGCATTGACTGCCAAGTTGTTTTTGGCAGTTTTAAGCATCAACATACAGACTTCATATTTGAAACAACAAATTGTACCGTTCTTGAGTCTTTGCTCCTAATAAGGCTGATTTGTTGTGGTATTGAAGTCCTCTCCCCCATTGAGCAGACAGATGGTGATATCCATGAAAAAAGTGCTCCAACTGGAGTAGTCAGCCAGGAATCTGCAGGTGTGTGTGTGTGTGTGTGTGTGTGTGTGTGTGTTGAGCCTGCACACAGTGCTACAGGGCTATATCTCACTGCTCAATGACTGCTGACCTACAGCTCTTAATCCCATGAAATGCAATCTTGGAGTCCATTCACACAGACCTCTACAGATCCTATTCAGTTGGCTCATAAAATATTCTTTGCAGACGATACAATGTTTTACATGTTGTGCGCTATATTTCGGAGACTGCTTGAAGCTTTTTACAGTACATTTCTGTCAGCCAACTAATAATGGAATACATTTATTATTAAATGATAATTTCACCCGAATTACATACAAAACATGATGGGAGTAACACGTTATAAAGTAACCCCTTTTTTATCATTGAATTAACTAACCAAGTGACATATTTTATGTATATTTCATATTGTATTAAATGCATAACAATAACAGTACTAAAAAACTGTGCAATGTACAACCCAAACAGTGAATGCAATAACTGAAGGAAATTTGTCTAAAATTAGTGATTTGGATGAATTTTGAGTAGATTATTTCCTGTGAATTTTGATCAAAAATGAGTTTGACATTTTTTACAATTCTGTGTGTGTGTTATCTAATTTTAAAGAAAAATACAATTTAATTAAGTTTAAGCATATGTACAGAACGTATCATATTTGGCATTAAACCTTGTCAGTACTAATTGCACTAAAGAGATTGGCGAGTGATGATTAAAACCAGTTTCACAGAGCAAGGCGCCAACTGTTATGAGAGAAAGGGACAAATATATATTTTCTTTCATATGTTTCATCCCTCCAAAAAAAATTTGGTTTGTTACACATAGAGACTTATATTAATTTATATTCCGGCCATTGGTCAATGGGAAGGAGTAAAAAGTCCACTAAGTCTAATTCACGACATGAGTAGCATGTAAAAGGTATTAAATGTTTTACTACCATCTATTTAAGGTGTGAATTCAACTATCCAGATTCAGCAGCCATTAGAGGTATTTTCATAATAATGTTGTCTCAGTAACAAATATTTTGATTTCCTCTTGCTCTCAGCATCTCAGCTGTGGAAGCACTTTCTTGCATTCTTAATTAGAGGTTCTTGATCTGAGAGGTGAGAAATGTGATGTGCTGAGTCTGTGTAGTCCAGGATGATGGATGATGTGACTAAGTTTGTCTCTTTGTATTATTTTCATTGCAGATTCAAACTACTACTATTGTATTCTTCAGGGTTTTTTCTCTCTGAAGCATCTGAACTCACATTACTTCCATTCCTCTCCTCATGTTTAAATAAGCTTTGCCTGATGTGAAAGAGGGAAATATCATGCTGGGAGACTCTCTGAGGAGCATGTGGTTCAGGTTGAGAGACTCCATCAAAAATGCAGTATGAGAGATGTTTCTCCATAAATGCATGAGTACTGCATATCATTTCAATGAGCAGCTTCTTCTCCTTGGGCTCCGCCTTTATGAAAGCTCATGCAGACATGTCAAATTCTGCATTTGCAATCTCATACAGAAAAGTCTCTACACTGAGAGGCTGCCGGTGTAATAAATGGATTCATTTTAACCACAAAGAGAGACTGCTCTTTATCATGAATAAACCTCTGAAGAAGAGCAGTGCTTTTTTTGTTTTTGTGGTTTTTAAATTACATTCGCTCCAGTATTTGGTTTAATCGTGTGAATGTGCTTGCTTCTTATTGCACTTGCATTGTAATGAGTGGATTTATTTCGATAATACTAAAACTAATTTATTTTTCCCTTCTGTTTCAGAGGCCAGAGATCCAAAATGGGAGGCAAGCTCAGCAAAAAGAAGAAGGGATACAATGTAAACGATGAGAAGGCCAAAGACAAGGATGCCAAAGCAGAGGGGGCATCTGCTGAGGAGAGTGAAGCACCGAAAGACAACAAAGACGAGGCACCGGCTGCCACCGATGCTAAGGAGGTAGCGAACGACACGGCGGCCAAGGATGCGCCAGCAGCCGACGCTGCGGCACCAAAAGAGGAGGAAAAGAACGCAGCTCCTGCCGCAAAGGAGCCAGAGAAACCTGCTGCCAATGCCGAGCCGAAAACAGAGGCACCCAAGAGCGCAGAGCCCGCCAAGGCTGAGGAGAAACCAGCTGCCTCCGCCCCGGCCAAAGAATCAGCCCCTGCCGCCAAGGAGCCTGAGGCTAAGTCTGCGGCACCTACCCCGGCGGCTGAGAGTAAAGATGAGGCCGACGCCAAAAAGACTGAGGCCCCCGCGGCACCAGCAGCCAAAGTCGAAGCGGCCCCCGCTGCCTCACCTGACCCCAAGCCCACAGAGGCGGCAGCGGCGGCTCCCGCACCGGCAAAGGAGGCCGCCGCAGCCCCTAGTACAACACCAGCCGCTGAGCCTCCCGCCAAGGAGGCAAACGCTACAGAGGCACCAAGCAAGGATCAAACCGTAGCAGTTCAAGATTAATGGACAGCTTCTTTTCGGAAATGAAAAAAATAAAGTACCTAACTCAACGATGATGAAGATTAAAAAAAAGTGAAAATGAAATTAATTAGCCCACCCATATTATGATAATAACAATAATAATAATAATTGTATTGATGATGATTTGTTGAATGAGGAGGACTGAAGCAAACCACCTGGAGAAGTTTCCCACCGCTGCAGATGATTATTGCTATTATTATTGTTATGTTTGATTTTATTTTTTTCTGCTGTAGTATTTGAACTTTGATACGAGTCTGTGTCGGCCATACGCCTCACCATTCCACATCCATCATCCCCTCTCCCTCATACAGTCAAGAGGTTTAACCCATCTCAGCCCACAGAGGATTCATGCATCCACCTGCACCCTCTGTTCTGTGGATCAAAATTTGGGGACTAAGGGAAGGAGGTGGGCGCGGGGGGGGGGGTAGTTCAAGAAATCACTTTTACCAGCTGGACCATCGAATCTGTCCACTCTTCAGCTCTCATCCTTTTCTTCAGAGTATCATGTCCTCGGCTTTGGCCTGGTACCTACAGTTTTGCGGTGCCGTGGAATTGTGGTCGTATCCCCTTTTTCAACCCATCCTCCCCCCTGGCTTTTCTTCTTTTTTTTTTTTGGTATTGCTGGGTTGGGTTGCTACCCATTTTTTCTCGGGGGGAACTTTCTCTGAGAAGAAAAAAAAAATTTGGGGGGGACTGAGAATGTTCGGACTTTCTAAGACATTTCGAAGGTTGAGAAAGGCCGACTCTGCAGAGCAAAACATATTCTTAGACGTAACAAAACAGTCGTAGGAATTTTTCAGATAAACTTCTAGATTTTGTACTGAAACCGTTAGGTATATTGTAAGGGAACTAAGCGGTTTTTTAACATTTGTAATACGCTTCTAAAATCTGCAAAGCCTTGCCGAAAAGATCTCCGCAGTGTTCTTAGACAGCCCGATGGAAATCTCTGATCCTCCGTTCAAATCCGATGAAAAATTTTAACAGATTGTTTTTATTATAAAAAGACATATGTACTGCTGACCTGGGTGAAATGGGCTTTACAATCATGTCCTAGAGGTTGTTTGACCTTGCTTAGAATACCAAGCTGGTGACGCTGGAGGATTCAGATCGCGTCGGTTCAGAGGCGTCTTTAAAAAGAAAGTAAACTAAATTGGCTCTTAAGCTCTTTTCTGTTCTTCTTCTGTGCAAGAACGACTTCACTTTCTTAAGTAAAAGTGGCATACCACAAAGTAGACATACAGTAGATATACTGTAAGTAAAAGTCCTGCATTCTACTCTAAGTTGAGGATTAGCAGCTAAATATACTTAAGAAGCAAAAGTATATTGATATAGAGGACAGTGGTTCAAGTGACATATTTTATGGGTATGTCATATTATATTCAGTGCATACCAATAACAGAAGTCTGTATTATGATTTATTTTATTTATAACAATCAAACAGACTTATAGGCCTCTTTTTTTTTGACAAATTCTGTGTTTGTTCCCTGACACTTGTTTTATTAGCTCTTTAGTCTACTGTGATAATCAGCCTTCTGTGTATATTTTTAAAGTTTTCTTACACCCCTTAGAATCAAGAAGGTCTTGCGACCCCCTGTGAAGCTTTGGCGACATATAGTGGGGAGGTTAGGTGAAAATAGTGGACATTGGTGCCTACCACATGTTATTGCATTAGTAAAGAAAAATCACAAAATACCCCCAAAAAATCTCCAACTTCTGTCTGTTTTCACATTATGGAGATAATGTCATCCTCAGACATAATGATCTTGTCGACAAAGGCAAACAAACTGCTGAATTAATAGAATAATGCTGAAAACTACTCAAATAAAAGCTTCAACAGTTTGGTATCTACGCAGGTGAAAACACCTCAGACGAGGTGGTTTACAGGTTCTGTTTGGTCCAGGTCTGCTTTCAGCGAATGATTAGATCTACTATGGTCCATATTTCTATGGCAACCATACGCCACGCTATCATCATGGGATGGAAAAGCCTTGCACAAGAAAAGGGAGCTTCTGATTTCGTCATTTTCACCCCGTCATGCATTTTAATTTACTTTTCATAGGTATATATTGCATATGTGTACATATACGCAGTGGTGGAAGGAAGAGTACTTGCATTGCAGTGTTTCTGTGGCAGCAAAGTCCTCAGTCCTCAGTCATTTTTTACTTTTAAAGCGTATCCAAAGTAAAAGTACTGATAGTGAAAAAGAAGGTTTCTTTCTCTAGTTTTTAGGTTTGGGATTGTCATGCTTTTAGGATCAGCAGGAAGGAAGGAAGGAAGGAAGGAAGGAAGGAAGGAAAGTAATGACGGATTGAAAGAAAGAACAGAGATACAAAGACAAGGACAGAGGGAATGTAGAAAAAAATGAGGGAAGGAAAGAAGTAAATAAGAAAGGAAAGACTCAAGGATAAGAAATATCAGTGATATTTCATAATAATGATATATCATAATCTTAGTTCATGAAGATAGAAAATCTGGAGTAAATATTAAAAATTGGACTGAATTCTTGAGTGTTTCAACAAATAGAAACAGTCGAGTAAGATACCAGCACCCCCAAAATTGTACTTTTGCTCGAGTAAATGTACTTTTGTAATTTCCACCTTTGCATATATGTATGTATATAAGTATATATCATCTAATCATCTCCGCCATCCATTTGCCACCTTTTCAGTTTCATCCGACTGACACGCAACGTTTTCCTCCCAGCACTTGTCAAACCGTAGCAGAAACAAACACTCGAGGAGCGTTGGGTGTCACTTGGTTCAGCTTTTTCTTCCTCTCTTGACTCAGTAACTTGCATGTCCGTGGTTGGGTGAACCTGTAGTCCTGTCTTTTTGGTCAAGTGGAAAAAAATATATATAATTTCTCAGTCTGCATCCATGGCTACAACTACAGTTGATATTTTCATTCCATGTCTCACCACTGCTATCTCCACACCACACGTTCATTCAAAAACAAACAAAAAGATGATATGGAAATTGATGCATTCAAAATTATATGTACTTGTATAAATGGTGCAACAGTAATAAAATGTAAGAAATTGACTGAAACTTGAGGATTTTGTGCAAGTCAACTTTTTTCATGCACTCACAAGATAACGAAACAGACATATTTTTCTTTCAAAGGATTATTACAGTTTCTTATTGTCAACAAATGCAATGAAGATAGCAAAATCAATACTTTCTGACTTCCTGCCTGTGGCTCTCAGCTTTAAGCCCATTGGTTCATACTGAAAAAAATATTAAATTAATATTTATTTATTATTTGAATATAACAACTGCTAACTTTATCAAACGAGCAAATAGATGCATTTGTTGGGGACTATTTTCTCTGGCAGATGAATCCACATTTGGTGCTTTATTGAGTATTCAGGGCAGCAGGACGGTGTACATGGGATAGAAATAAACTACAGTGTGTGTGTTCATAATGAAGATGTCACCCAGTGCAACAGTGTGGCTCACTAATCGTTAATGGACAACAATGGAGCTCTATGGCACAAAAGAAGATTATATCAGGCTTTGATACACAGACGATACTTAATAGACACATTCAGTGTTGGTTTGAGTCTTTTCATAGTTTGTTGAGCGTAAGAAATGAAGATCATATCAGAAGGCTGTAGATATCCACTATATCCATCCATCCATTAGATAGACACACTTTTTTGTATCAATATTATTGATGCTAGAATTGATCTTAAAAAAATGAGATGTAGTATCTGAAGGACCGATATTTTGGGATCAATCCTCCCGCCCCTAATACCCCATACCCCGCCCATACAAAATAAAGTTGCTGTGTGGTGAAAATCATCATTTCTAACTTACTGATTGATTTAAATCTCCATTAAAGTGGCACTTTAGATGATTGTATAATGAAAGTTTGTACAGTATGTGTCATGTGCTTATTTTTTAACTGTGGTTGAGTTCTCAGACTCTCACCAACCTCCAGTACAAAACATAGGCAACTGCTTCCAGAAAACAAGCTCTGACTAACTTTATTTATTTATTTCTTCTTTATTTTTGCAGGGACAATGCATAATTAAAAGTATCTGCACCAGAGGTAGCTTACAGCTCATTTGTAGCTGTTGTATCTGAGAAGGTGGACAAGAAACAACCACAGAACAGTAAATACATACACAAAACAACACAATACATAAAATTCAATCATAGAGTGTATACTTCGTGCCCACCACAGCTGTAAGTGGAAACCAGTGAGGGAGTGAATGAATAAAAATGATTACTATTTGTTGTTTGCAGCATACTTGCATATGGACTTACTGTAGTAGTGAGGAGTGCTCTGCCCTGTCTTTAACTCTCATACTGTAAAACCCATTCAGGCTCGTCTGTGCAAAGTGATTCACAGTATTATAACACCTGAAGCACCTGGCACACTTTCAGCAGCCTCTTCATCTCCAGGGCATCAGACTTTAATACGAGGACAGACTTATTTTAAGGATCCAAGTGTGAAATGTGGGTTAGATCAGTGATGTGTCTGAAACAGAGCAGAAAAACTATTACTGTAAACAATTATCTGTACAGAAAGCTGAATTTATTGTTCACTTAGGAAAGAAAGAGCCACAGTATTTAACACAAGAGTCAACTATATAAATGACTTCTCTGTAGGAACACACTCTGTAAATTTATTGGGGTTTCCTGTTTATTTTACAGATTTTTATGTATTCTTTAAATATAATAACAATAATAAAATTACAGAAATAGTTTGAGAATTTACATATGTAATGTAAAATAACATGACAAATCTGTAACTGTAAATATTCATTCATTCAGATTAAAATACATTTGCATTATATTTGCAATATCTGCAATTTATTTGCAGATATTGTTTATTTAATAGATGAAATTGTTAAATTCAAGTTTAATACTGTTAATAAATTCCAAACAATATGTAAAATTAGCGACAATTAAGAGTAATAAAGTATTTTTGTTCAGGTATTTGTTCTGTAATTAGGGCCCTTGCACTAAAGAGTGTGTGGACCCTATTGTTTTTGAAGGAATTATTATTTTTTCCACTATTATTATTATTATTATTATTATTATTATTATTATTACAGCAAATAAATCGATTTTAAATTTGGCAAACATGTCAGTCGTTTTTAAACTGGATATCCTGCAGCGTCTGTACGCAAACAGACTCAATTTTTACTGTTTTCTCTCGAGTAATTTGCTATAGTGTATACAAAACCATTCCTGAGTTTAGTATTTCATCACATCAAGCATTTAACATTCATTATTGCT